AAAAAAAAAGTTGAATTTGACAAACACTGAACGTCAGTGGGTCGCAGTTGGCCGCATCATTTTAAGTTAAATTTAAAGCACAAACAAGTGCCGAAGTTAAACTTCATTGAAACTTTTCGAAAAAAAAGTTTCCCATATGGTGCGCACTTTAATGGTGACACTGTATATAGTATTCGTATATCCATGAAAAACTATCGGAAATACTTTCACAAAAAATGCGAATGGATGACTGAACGTGAATTGTTTCTGAATCAAATAGTCGTTTTATTAACAAACTTGAAACAGAAAACTATCTAAGAACATATGCTTTCACGATTAAAGATAACAAAATCTGGGCTGGGTCAAAAGGAACTTATGGTACCAAAAGTTTCATCTGATACTGGGACAGACATCTTCAGTGGTGTAGGCGTCTTCGTCCTCGCTGTCAACACGAAACGTTTGGTACTACAGGAACCTTTCGATCACGTTCTACAGCGTCTCAATTTTGTTCCTTCTACACCAAAAAACTATATGAATTTTAATTGCAATAATAAAACATAATAGAAAAACTACTGCTTNTGTTGTTCCTTCTACACCAAAAAACTATATGAATTTTAATTGCAATATTAAAACATAATAGAAAATCTACTGCTTTTTGTCAGGTAAGATAAATATATTTGGGAAGAGCAGCAGTGGAAGTCAGTACGATTTTCCCGAACAAAAACTGTCGAGGCAAAAGGCAAGTGAAAGTGAATACAACAAAGCTGGTAGTGAAGAAAAATGTTTAAATTATAGAGGGCTACTACCCTTGATCTTTCCACAATGATCTGGGATGTTCCAGGATATTATGGATTGCTGTGAGCAGTGTTCTCGAATACTCTTCAATTTTTGAGAATGTTCTAAAAGTTCCAGAAAGACAAAAATTCAAGAGCTCATGTCTTCTAAAGCACGCTCTTTTGGTAAAAAAACGGGAACCTTTTTCATAGATGGAGAATAGAGAACCATCCCATAAAATATAGCTACCCCACAACAAATATTCTCTTTCAAACCATTTCACAATGATCTAGGATGTTGAACCGGGATTATCCCAAAGTTTCGTCGATAATCTCACAAGTTTCGCATTCTTCTGTCACTATACATTTCCTGGAAAGTAATAATTATTTATTCGAATATTCGTGGGGAATCTACTCTTCTGTTTCAATCAGCACACAAATTTCGGAACCCTGAACTATTCAGTTAGACCAAGATAGAAAGAATAAGTGACGATGAGTTAA